AGGAATGAAGAAAAGAAACGGAGGAGCAATGGAAAATGGAGGAAAAGGATGAAAGAAAATAAAGAAGGGGAAACGAATTGGAGGAATTAAAGACAGAACAGGGAAAGGATGAGAGGGGAAAAAGCGTAATGGACTGATATAATTTAGGAAGGAAGAAAAAAAAAAAGGAATGCTGGAAGGAATGAAGGACAAGAAGAAGAAGAAGAAGAAGAGAAAGTGCGGAGGAAGGAATAAACCATCGAAGAGAGAAAATAGGGAATTAGAGACGTAAGGAATGGTGAAAGTTACGACGAAAGAAAGAAAGAAACACAGAAAGAAAAGGAAAAGAAAACTGGGAACGGAAATGTCGATATACAGGCCTGCTACTCAGTAAGTCCAATATACGTTGAACACATAACCTAACTTTTTAGCCTGTGATGTAAATCTTGAATGAGTAAATTTAAATTGTATAATATTTTTGCCCGGCTGAGCAAAAGTACGCCGTTGAGATGGGCTCAGATGCAACGATGTACATGCCAAGATTCATAAAGACTGATTCCAGCATTAAAAATGTGTTTAGTGGGGGATCAGAGACAGCATGGTGATCACATAAGCCTGCTTTTATTTTTCGAAAATAGGAAAAATATACTAAAGAACAAAATGTTTGGGATGGAAATGATTAGCATGTCTATATGTGCCACGTTACAGGAGATGCAGATGTATGACGTTGTCCTGTTGCATTGCTGTATCACTCACTCCTTGACTTCCGTCTTTAATGAAACTTGAAAATGTAAGATTTGAGGCTTTCACGGCGGTGACTATGAAGAACGCAGTCTTCTGGGATTTGGCACCGTGTATATGTGGTGTTAACCGACGTTTCGGAGGAACGTATCGCCTCCATCTTCAGGGTAGAAGAAAAATATAAGAAATCTGCAAGCGAAGAGACCGTGAGAACCGGTAAAAGCAGACTGTCTCCTTCTACCGGTTCTCACGGTCTCTTCACTTGCAGATTTCTTATATTTTTNGGAACACAAACATGGACGCCGCAAGAGGAAAATAACGCAGGAACAAAGAGGGAGTTCTGTTGTAAGGAAAATGTATTTTTGTGTGAATACAGCAGCTTTGAAATATATTGACTTAAGTTCTAGTACAGTACGACTGTTTCAAAACGTGGACAGTTACCTGAAGATGACCAAGTAGAACCGAAACATGTGGCAATTGGTAGTGATCTTAATGTTATTTTAAATTAAGGAGATTTGTGTACTTTTTTAAGTGGCAGATATAGAATTTATTGACCGAAATTCTTAGTATGTTATTTGTTTTTGTTTAGTTACGTGTCTTGTTTACGAAAGAAACACTTCGAATCATCCAACATATTCTGTGGACACCCTGTATTTAAATCTTCGATATAACGCAGTTCCGGTGACAGAAGTTATGTTAGGGTTTGGGTTCGAGGCCCACGCACTACGTGATTGTTAATCTTGTTCGCATTAGCTTCTGTGTATCCATTTATGTTCTCTGAAAGGCAATACCAAGTGCATAATGGTAACGCCCACATCCTATCTCCGGATACATTACATCCCAGTGGGTTTACAGGACGTGTACAGATGTTGCAAGGGAATGGTTTGGGATCAGATTTTAAAATCAAATGCTCTAAACCGGGGGTCCTTAATCAATGATGCTTTCACCTACGGAGGTTACATGGCGGGTGTGGCCTGCTCAAACTCCGTCACGGAAAGTACGGGCACAGCAGTTCCTAATGATGCCGAAACAGATGCCTCCTGAAACGTCATTTTTAACGAACTGTCCAGGCTGATAGTCCTAGAAGAATACAGTTCGGGAAAGCCGGACGTTTAGGAGGAACTTGCCGATAATTTGTTAGAGTCGAGTGAGGTACCCAAAAAGCAAACAAACTCAGTGGCTTTAGTCAGCAAGCGAATTATACCGACCGAGCGACTGCCGCTTGTCGACGAAGTTAGTGCCAGCTTTAGCGGATAGAGGGTGTCGCGTGGTCAGCGTAATGAATGAGTGAGTTAGCCATGGAATACAATTTTGTAGTTTCTCATTACGAAATTTGAAAAGTTTGAGGTTGATTGTTTCGGTGAGTCTCAAATCTGGCCTCTTCTCAGTCCTTAGGCTCAAGAAATCCACTGGTGCCCTGCAGTGGGCTTACCTTAATTTCAGAGGATATTAAGCTCTTCCACTTCTGAAGCGACAGCAACTGGAAACTGTAACGTACCTCCTCATTGGTCTTTGGAAGAAGAACGGACGTATTTTTGACCTTACTATATTTCACTTCGTACCAACATTCAGCTGACCGCGATCTCAGTTTTAGTCCTGGTTGTTCCTTGGTCTGCAGTCTTATTTGGTCAGCCTATGACAAATTTACTTTACAATGTTACTGACCAATAATAGGGCAGATCTTCGTAATTTTGAGTTCGGGCTCAAAATGGTGGGATTTATATTCACGGTTCATGTGCCCTTTTGGAGTGGACGCTTCTTGGATCCGGACGAGAAAGATCTGTGTCTTTTCATCTCAGAAATTGTTACTTACAGATTTACTTTGAAGAAGTCCAAAGTTTAGTTTATTAAATAAGTTTTAATTGTGACTAGTCTGAAACGTTAAATTTAGAAGATTCGCTTTCCGGCGTTCTCTGTTCTCCGTGATAAAATGTGTTTTGCAATTGTCTGTTTTTTGTTCGCCAAGTAACCAAGTATCGAAGTAGGCCGCGCCATAGCTCAAGCGGTTAGTCGCTGGCTTTCCGGGTCTGGTCAAATGGGATCTGTGATGGACAAAGTGGCGCTGGGGCAGTTTTTCTCCAAATTCTCCATCATCATAATCACCCGGGGCAGGCTACAATAGGCCAATCAGTGGCCGCCGTGCCGAGTGGACCCTGTTGGACTCCACTCCCCACTAATCGAAAGGGGAAAAAAAAGTATCAAAGTACGTTTAGTGTTTAGGATTTGAGGTTCTCGAAATCGTGGTAATGAAGAGTTCTGTCTCTTGGCATATAACGATGTGTACCCAGTTGAAAATCAACAAACGTTTTGGAGGAACATGTCTCCTCCATCTTCGGGGTCGAAGAATAAACAACGCAAGAAACCAGAGTTCAAACGTGTGGCAAACATAATAATCGCTTGCAGAAACTTCGGATAACTGGAAGACGGCGAGTCAATTCAAGTTGGCTTGCGCGAAGGAAAGAATGAATCCCAACTGTTCATTGACTTTCACACACAACCGAGCGAACCAATAAGAAACAAGAACCCGATAACCAGCATGGCCCTTAAAAGCGCCAGTTGTGCTGGTGTAGGAAAATTCATGGACGAAGTGAAAAGGGTATGCTTGTACAACCGAGGAGTGGGGGAAGGAAGTCATGTGGTGGAGGATGGGGGAGCCGAAGTGACGGAGGGAAGTCTGGACAGCAGGGTAAGTACTTCTTATGTCAGGATACCAACTGTGTCATCCCTGGGCACTCATCAGCCCTAAACATCCACTCTACTGTCCCGGCTTTCCTCCGCAGCCTCTTCCCATCCTCAACCACATCTCCAGCACCAAATCACACGACGTCTCCCCCATAGTCCTCTGTTCTCTGCTCACCACACCCTTACCATTTCGCCCCTGTCTTTTCCTAATTCCGCACAACTGGCACTTTTAAGGGCCATGCTGCTTATCCTGTTCTTGTCCCCTATTGGTGCGCTCGGTTGTAAGAGAGAGCCAATGCGTACTGGCTGTTCATTCTTTCCTGCGGGCGCCAAGAGGAACTGATTCGATGTCGTCCAGTTCTCTTCTGTTTCCTATATTATTCTAAATTTCTGCAAGCCGATTGTTTTGCTTGCACACTGGTTTTTTTCTTGGCTTATTCTTCCACCCTGAGGATGGAGGCGACATTTTCCTTCGAAACGTTGGTTAACTTTTAAAATGACTATATTATGCCTCGAATGGGATTCGAGCTCACGATTCCAGTGTTCTAATGGGTGAAGACATTTTGTGCCTTAGACCGCACGGCCGCTGTGACCAGCAGCTCTTTGCTTTACTTTATAGCTAATCTTTACTTTCTGAATATACTTTCATTAATGGAATCATCTTTCTCAGGACCGACTAAATTTAGCAACAATTCAGAACCAGCAGAAGACATTCGCCAGAAGTGTTTAAATTACCCATATTGTTTCATCTTAAGATCTCTCATTAAATCACCTCTGTTATAGATGTTCCGGCTTTTAAAATTTGTGGTCATCAGCCGACGCCCCCCCCCCCCCCCGCCCGGGCTNNNCCCCCCCCCCCCCGGGCGCTTATTTTCACCGACAATTTCCTTTAAACTGATGCTTACCATGAATTGGACATCACACTGGCGAAGAGAACCGAACATCAGGAGAACGCAGTGTGTACGACAGAGAGAACAAGGCCAACATACGAACGAATATTCCTTCGCTTTCGTTTTCTCTCCAAACATGAACGCACCCCAAGAAGTCTGGAAGAAATATATTCTGTCATTTGCTACACTTCGAAATGCGAAGTACGGTTCACCTTGACGGTAATTTGAACTGTACTGCCACCTTTTGGAGGAAGTTGCATCCAGATACTTGATCTGCGACAAAATACAAATTAGTTTAACTTTTGCCTACAAAGATGGCAGTGTATCTGATGTTAACATGGTCGTTATATCAGCTGAATGCGAAAGAAGTAGTTATGGCGTCTGCTGTAGATACCATTTCTAGTAATCGATGTAAAATATTAATTATTGGTGCAGGAATGGCTGGCCTGTCTGCTGCTAGTCACCTAGTTAAAAATGGCGTTACAGATTTCAAAATATTAGAAGCAAGAAATAGGATAGGGGGAAGAATAGTGTCAACAAATACAGGTATACATAACCTCACCTGTATTTTTCTTTGGTAATGATGCTACTGGCAGTATGTACTGCAGAATAAATTTTGCAGTATTGACACTATCATTCGTTTTATATGAAACATGCAGTTTTATCTCCACTGCTTTAACTGTCATTACGGTTATTCTTGTATTTCAGGTAACCATAAAATCGAGCTGGGCGCAAATTGGATACACGGAGTTCTGGGAAACCCTATGTATGAGATTGCGATGGTAAACGGTTTAATTGATATTGTACATGTTCCTTCGCCACATAAAGTAGTAGCTGCAACCGAAGACGGAAAACAAATACCATTTCAAGTGTTGCAGGTTAGCAGCTTGGTAAATGTCATTCCAGTTTCAGTTGTTTCACAGAATGCTGTCTTCAGTGTTTGCATTTTTATGGAAAGTAATTTTTGCAAAAGCCATGTATATGTTGTTACTTTTATAATTTTATAAAGCTGAGGCATGATTCTGTGATGAACAATTTGACATGAATATTATGATACCTACGGAGTATTGCATACTTAAATTGATTGCTGGTGCTTATGAAATACCTCTAAGTCCCAATATATTGTTTTACACTGCATTAAAATTAGTGGTCACTGCTGTAGTGTTTACAGTACTTATATCCCTGTTTGTAGACTTTAAAACTTTAAAATTGTAGAAATATTGCAGGACGAACCATGCAGGGTGATCATAAAAATAACATCAGTATTAATACAGAAGTCATATTGGATGGTCTTGAGTCATTCATAACATTACAGGAAGTATGAATTATGTCAAATACAAATCCATTTTTCATACCCTTGCTTTTCTGTGAACACACCAGTAATCACAAGATTTCTGGTATAATCTGCAAGGAATATTTTCTTTTATTTATTTTAGCCCTAGCTAAGTGAGTGTCACTTCCATTGTATCTTCATTGCTTGTAAATTTATATCTCAAGGGTAATGGACTGAATTAAGGTATTTGTGGCTATAACCTCAAATTTCATACAATTTCAATTTCTAGGGTCTTCTGTCAGTCTTATAAGGAAAATTGTTGTTGAGCAAAGTGATGCTGTGTTTTTTTTTTTTTTAATTCGCATAGTGGAGGGTGGAGTCAAGCTTGGTCCTCTCAGAACGTTGGCCACTGATTGGCCTATTGTACCTACCCCGGGTGATTATGATGATGGAGAATTTGGTGGAATGAATATTGGTAGGGGAAACCGAAGTTCTCGGAGAAAACCTGCTCCAGTGGGAAGCCAGCGACAAACCGCTTCAGCTATGGCATGGCCTTGATGCTGTGGTTTGCTCAAATTGTGGAGTGTATACCTATTTTGTATATGTTGCCATAGTTTATATCTTCTGAAATTATATGAGGTTTGGTCTGTCAGCGCTTCAAAACTTCATCACCAGACATGCTAAATTAAATTCTAGGACAAGTTGTTCAATTTGATGGTACGTCCAGTATCTGAGCAATAGAAACAGCATTATAGGTTCCTGAAATGCCAAATAAAGACACTTTCTATAATGTGGTATAGAGAGAGTTACTTAAAAAATTGAAAGTTACACTTTCATTAGAATTTTACTTTTGAATTTCAGATTGTTATTTCAAGGGTTACCCAATTTTCAATTTGTTTTATTGTGATAATTGGTTGTTTATTTCATGTGACCCATAACAGAACTATAGGCATAGCATTAAATAAGGAGAAGTGAAGTAATTCTAATTGTAATATTCAATTCAGGTATCAAAATGTAGTGCTCATGATAGGATTTTTGAAGTTAATTTGTGATTCTGATCTTGCATGTTCATATTGTTCCAGGAGATATATGAGGCATATGTTTGCTTTCTTCGTCGCTGTGAAGAGTACTTCCTATGTCATTACTCACCTCCAACAGGTATTAACAGTGTGGGTGAGCACATCTCTCTTGAAGCAGCATTGTATCTTGACAGGTCATCTAATGACGCGGAACGGCATTTACGCCAGCTTATCTTCGACTGTTTACTGAAACGTGAAACATGCATCACAGGCTGTCACAGTATGGATGAGATCGACTTACTAGAATTGGGCAGCTACACAGAACTCCAAGGTGGTAATATTGTTCTTCCATCTGGATACAGCAGTATTCTCGAACCTGTTTCACGAGAGATCCCACAGGGAAACGTCTGTAAGAGACGAGCTGTCACAACAATACGGTGGCGTTACGCAGATGAATCTATATCTGCCGACATCACAAGTCCTGGTGGGGACTCTGGAATTGATCTCCTTGCCAGTGGTGACCCTGGGAATGAGTCTGATGATTCGGACAGAACAGTGACTGGTGAGCAGCCAAGAAGACCGTCAGAAGCGTCTAGTCGTGGTGGTAGTAGTGAAAAAGAATTTCAGTCTGCTGTCACAGAAGATCAGAAAAACTCATGTACAAATTTAGAACAGTGTGAGAAAGGATGCGAAGAAACGTCGCAAGATAACAGTGAAAATAAAGCAACGAACACAAGTGAAAGTGGTGAAACCTCGTCAGCTTCTTTCTGTCAGAGGCATAATCATGATGGTGATAGTGAATTGTCTCAGTCAAAATCCGTTGAACTTGTACCAAATGCAGAAATTGTCTGTGAAGATGGGTCACATTACTATGCAGATCACGTGATTTGCACCGTTCCACTTGGAGTGCTTAAGGAGAAAGCTGCGACTCTTTTTTCACCTCCATTGCTTCAGTACAAACTTGACTCCATTGACAGGCTGCTGTTTGGTACAGTAGACAAAATCATCTTGGAATATGACAGGCCATTTCTGAATCCAGATGTCTCTGAGGTAATGCTGCTTTGGGAGACAGATGTAGAGGCTGTTGCAGGTGAGTAAAGGGCAGCTACTTGTGTGTGATTGGTTGCATCAAGCATAGCCAGTCTCTCTCTCTCTCTTTCTCTGGCAGATTTTCAAGAATTATAGGTGCAACTTCAATATTTGGGGCCAAGAATGAAATTAAAATTCTGTGGACTAACAAACTAATAAGAAAAAAGAGGACTTAGCCCTTTTTTTATCTAACCTGTGTAAGTTTTTACAAGCCTAGACTATGTACTATCTGTTCTAAAAGTGAAGGTTTATAACCTACTCATTCAGCAAAAGCAGAAGGTATATTGTGTATAGACCATATATCCTCCCTCCACTGCAGCACATGTTGTTGCCACAAAGCAGAAAAGTAGATACAGATCATCATAAACGAAGTTGCATGTTTTTCAAAGATCCCTCATGGTACAACATTAATGCCTCTACTGTTACTGATATGAGAAATTTACATTGTCATTATTCTGGTACTGATGGTGATAAGGAATTGAAATTTGCATAGTTTAAGTAGGATGACATTTATTTATTACAAGTACTTAATGGGCATGTCTTCCTTTTAGTGTAAAGTTACTCTGCATATTGAAGAAAGGGTGTTATTACACTGTCACTTTACTTTAATTGATTAGAAATAATCTAGTTGAATATGATTGACAGATTTGTATTTGGACAGAAGTTTTTCATTGTTTTCCTCAGTCCCTCGGCTACCAATTAGGTTAGAGGCTGCATGGGCCTCAGTGCTGGTCTAAACGTTGTTGAAGAAAGAAGACCTTTGCCTCTGCCATGAATCAAACCCCATCTACCCAGCCCTTGGCCCATTGCTATACCGACTGAGCCATCCCGGCTCCTACTAAGGGCTATAGTAGTGTGAATTAATTTGTCCATATTTAATGCATGGTTTGACTTGTCGTTAATCGTTAGACAGAGGAGAATAGCTGCCAGTATGTTGAATAAAACGCTGGGGCAGTTTTCTCCGAGTACTTCGGTTTCCCCTGCCAATCTTCATTCCACCAATTGCTCCACAATCACCCTCACCTATCATATGGGGCTGGTACAATAGGCAAGAAGTGGCCTGCAGTACAAGGAACTTAGTCCCACCCCACTAGCATTAAAAAAAATATAAAAAAGTGCAGGATTAGGATTAATTGCATCAGTTTTTTTTTGTGTAGATAAGATTGCAAATGGCATGTACTGTCTTCGCTCGCTTGGAAACTGGGATCGTGGGTTCGAATCCCACTCAGGGCATGGATGTTTAGTTTGTGTGTGTGCGGTTTTCTGTGTTTGTGTACACAAGTATAGGCCTTGCGATGAGCTGATCACCTGCCCAAGGAGTCCTACCGAACGTGTTAGATCTAGAAAAACCGAACGGAGAAGTTCATGGAGGTAGGCCTGGGCCCACTGGGGCTGTAGTGCCAAGGAAAAAAAAAAGATTGCAAATGTATTTCTCATTTCCCTTAATTTAAAGGCACTAATCAGAAATACTGTGGCCTCATTTAATATTACTCTCTACAGACAGTAGCATATGATAAGCATGACAATGTAATGGATAGTTTTTATGAGACATAATGAGCAAATGAGAACAGATTAAATTTATGGAATGTTTGCATCTTCCCATATTTCTGTCTAAAACCTAAAAATTAAAAATACAAAACTGTAATTTTTCCAAGCGTGGAACTTGTCTTTCACACTGAAATAAGAACGTATATTTAGGGTGTGTGAGAACAGGGTGCTGAAAAATACATTTGTACCAAAGTGAGGAAGAAACATGTTGCTGGAGGAATTTCAGTAATAAGGAAATCCATAATTTGTACTCTTCACAAAAAAATTATTAGAGACTAAATCAAAAAGTATTATGTATGTTAGTATATGTAGCATCTTTTGGATAGAAAAAATGCAGAGAAACTTTCAGTTGGAAAACCTGACGGGAAGAAACTATTTGGAAGACCTATGCATAAATAGGAAGGTAATAATATAATAGATTTAAGTGGTTCAGAGTAAGGTTCATCAGCTTGGACAAGGTAATGAAACATTTTATTCTGACAGATTCTGAAGAAGGACTTGGTTCCATTGAGTTAATTGGTTGAAGCAAGGTAAACTAGCCGGTCACGGTAGCCGAGCGGTCTAAGGCATGCCCTGTCTTCGCTCGCTCGGAAGCCGAGATTGTGGGTTCGAATCCCACTCAGGGCATGGATGTTTGTGTGCGTTTTTCTGTGTTTGTCTACAGGTAGAGGCCTTGCGACGAGCTGATCACTCGCCCAAGGAGTCCTACCGTATGTGTAAGATCTAGTAAACAGAAGTGAAACGGAGAGTTTCATGGAGGTAGGCCTAGGCCCAAATGAGGGCTGTAGTGGGAAAGGGAAAAAAAAAAGTAAACTAAATGTATAGTATGCATATACATTTGTATTTATTACAAGTAACAGAGATCAATTGGAAGTGAATATATAGAAAGGAAACTCAGAAATGGAATGAAAAACTTATATAGCGGTATTTGATATTGATAAAAAATATTTCATTCACTTGTAGAGCTTGACGTTTATTAAGTTTGGTTAGTTTGTAAGTCCATTATGCATACCAAATAGTGGGTATCTTTTAAGATGAGTTAACAAGAAAGTTCTTGAAATAAATTGTTGTAAAATGAATTTGTGTGCCCAATCTTAAGAAACCTGTGATAGCCATCATCTTGTTATGGCTCAGAGCTAATGTCTGTGTTATTTAATTAATGAGTAAATGCACAAAGATGGGCACAAAGTCTTTCATGCCAATTATTGAAGAACTGTACATACTTGATACTGGTTAGATCTTAAGTGTGAGCAGTTTTCGTTAATGGGGAAGTAAACAAAGGCTTATTGTATAATAATCTGTTCACTAGTGTAACTATTCACACCGTGTGGTTGGTATAGGTAAATATTGCATCAATTGTAAGAGAAAATTGTAATCCATATTCTTGAGGAATTTCGCAGTAAATTATATTATTAATTAGCAAATAATATTATTTTTAGTTATATTTATGTAGAAGTTATAATGAGAGAACCAGACCTGTATCACTCTGGACGTTTGAAAAGGATCACATTTTTCCCTAATCATAAAGTAATATAAATGTGAAAGTTGAGTATTTTGTGTAGTGAACATTCATATTGTTGTCTTCTTGGTTATGACACTGTTAGTCTGGAGTTACAGATGGGTACGAATGCTTCAGAGGAAAGTTCCTCCTTTTTTTGTGGTGTATTTTATAACGTGTATGGTATCTCAGACTGTATAGCATTGAATGTTAGGATGATTGGTGAATAAAAAGTTGGAAATGCTTTGGAAGGAAGCAGTAAGCAACCTAGGTACTCTCCTGGCATTCATCTTGACAAACTGAGGAAAACCATGAAAAATTGCCATCAGGATAGCCAGTGTTGCAACCAAGTTTGAAACTGGATGCCTCTCAAATACAAGTCTAGAACATTACCAACACACCATCGTGTTCAGTGGGAAATACTCTGTCTTATGGTTCTGGTAGTGGCACTAATTATCACTCCCACCTCACAGGGACCTGTCGGTATTGATGGTCTCAGGCTATTATGAAATGTAAGTTTAGAATGGCCTCCAATGGCATAATGCTTGTATCAAATGTCATCAAAATCTGCCCAGGATTTATAGGCTTGAAACATGCAGGTAGACAGAGAGGCAGGCATGACTTCCAAAGACCTTCGCTGTATGGATTTTTTTATGTGCGCTGTCCGAAGACTGCACAAGAAATAGTGAGTATTGTCAAACATTTCTTTTTCCAGATGACCTAAGTAACACTTGGTACCGCAAGATCTACTCTTTCTCCAAACTGTCAGAGACGCCGTTGCTCGGCTGGATCTCGGGTCGGGAAGCCAAATATATGGAGACATTGAGCCATGACCAGGTGGCTGACACATGCACAGATATCCTCAGGAAGTTCCTTAGTGATCCCTTCATACCAAAGCCAAAACTCTGCATATGGTAAGCCTTCCAGTCATGTATTTACTGCCTGCACAACAGCATGACATACCATAAATACTGTGACATGACAACTGAAAGCTGGACTAGTGGATCCAGAAAAGATATCCACTGCTATGCGACAGACCATCGTTAGGCATCAGCCCACTTAACACATCACTCAACAGTGGAGAAATTCTTGGAAATGTCCTTTTCTATGCAGCCTGTGCTGAGGCTATATAACAAGGATGAATGAGAAAATTTCTGACAGACACCTGACAGCTATAGTTTTCTTGTGTGGAGGTGGGATCTAATAGCTTTACTGTAGCCCTGCAAGTTGTAGGAGGTGATGTAAAGAGAACCCAGTGCCTGGGGGTTTAACTGAGCCACTCTGTTCCTGGGGAATATAAATACAGGGACCTGGCCTTCCAGGTTGGAGGAGTTTTCAGTCTGAGACAGTAATATTTGGTCATGAGTCCCACGGGACTCAGACCTGAGAATGGCTGTCCTGGTGAGGAACAGCATGAATTATAAATGACAGACCCATCCTCTCATCGGAGGGGATGTTACATAAGGACTATTACTGCAAGTGTTCAGTTGGAAAAAATAAATTACTGGTCATTAGTCTCAAGAGGCTTGTCAACAAGACGAACTGATTGACGGTGATACTGCTAGTCGTTAAGTAACCCTGACTGTGACTCTGAACATCTGACAAAAGTATAAGAGCATTAAACTTGGCAGTGGTCAAGCTTATGACCGTTCAAGTGACTAAGCTACTGTTGTAGTGTAAGATGTGTAAGGTACGCATTATCTGCTTTGCAAAGCCTATACTGACAGAGGACTTGTGTGTAGCACAAAAGTAAGAATTTTCAGCAACATGCTGTTTGTGTGGTACACGCACATGATGGAAGACGAAACATAAGAGACACACACATCTTCTCATCAGAGAGGGTGTAATGTAAGTACTGTGACTTCAAGGGTTCTGTTGAAAAAAAAAGTCTCTAGTCGTGAGATGAGTCTAAAGGAGTTTGATGCCAAGATGAACTGATTTGCAGTAAACCGCCAGTCATAAAGTGACTTTGACTTTGGATTAGCCATTGGTCAGAAGTCTTGAGTTGCAAGTCAGAAGTTGACAGTTGAGGTCAGTGGTTACCAGTCTGCAGTCTTGAGTTGTGTTGTTATACCCCACTACCAAGCAACTAGTGAAGACTTAGTGCATGCATAGTGATTTGTAGCATGTGTAGACTAGTAAAAAAAAAAGAAGTAAAGCTATCCCTGTAACAGGCCGTGAAGGCGCATAGGGTTGTGAGATGTTAAGGGTCCCACATTACCTTGACAATCGGCTCAAAGATGGCGGTAAGGTTGTTAGCCTTATCTGCCGGCCACACTTCACTCCCCAGGAAAATTATTCAATTAATTTCTGGTACTCATTTCTGTTAGCGGCTGAGTAAACCCCAGGGCCTAGTGCAGCCAGAAGGATTAGGTCAATTGAAAAAAATCCAATGACCTCATTGGGACTTGAACCCACGACCTTCCGGCTTGTAGCATAGTAGTGTAGACTAGTGAGAGTGTTATAATTATTTGTAGTTTTGAGTTATAAGCATTCAGTAAATCCTATTATCAATCCAAACCTTGTGTCTGCTATATTTCACTTGTCTCTTTGTTAAAACTGACATGGGTGTCCCACCAAGAGGACTGGGCATATTGTATGGAGTGACTCAGGGGAGCAAAGTCCTTGTTGGGAAACTAGTAGTCTCCCAGCAAGTGAAGAATTTTCTCACTTTATATGAAACCTAAAGGTTTGTTGTTGTATTCACTCGAGCTTATCACTTGACCCTATCTTGAGTCAGATGATTCCAGTCCACACTCATCCCATTTCTCTAAGATGCATTTTAATATTATCTTTTTATTAAGATTTTTTGACTAAAATTTTACATTGTTATATTTTAGCGTCCTGTTGCACTGATTTAAGTTCATGATTTGTTTATTCCGTCTTGCAGTGCATACACTTATCTATCTTCTTCTTTCACTTTCACTACATGTTTCGGCATAAGAATGCCATCTTCAGGTGCTACTCAATTCACGTCAAACTAGTACATTGTATGCCTTGTCTTCACTTTAAAATAACTAAAATATATGTCCATCATATATATTGACAAATGTCAATCGTAAAAATATTAAAACTGTNTTTTTACGATTGACATTTGTCAATATATATGATGGACATATATTTTAGTTATTTTAAAGTGAAGACAAGGCATACAATGTACTAGTTTGACGTGAATTGAGTAGCACCTGAAGATGGCATTCTTATGCCGAAACATGTAGTGAAAGTGAAAGAAGAAGATAGATAAGTGTATGCACTGCAAGACGGAATAAACAAATCATGAAAATTTTACATACATTTTTACCTCTCCCATGCATGCTGCATTTCCCCCTATCTCATATGAACATACTACTGATTATTAAAATTTTTGGACTTTGTATAATATCCTTAGCATGCATGGAAGAAGTGAGGACTACAAACAATATTTGGGTCACAAAACCTGTAGGAGAGTGATCACTTTGGAGACTTAGGTTTATTTTTGTATTTATAATTTGTTTAACAACATCAGTAACTCGGAGCCAGAAGAGCATACTTGGTACAGCGACTGGCTATGGGCTGGGCGACAGAGGGGTAGGAGTTCAAGTCTTGCTAAGAGCAAGAATTTTCTCTACTCCATTTTGTTCAGACTGGCTCTTGGGCCCACCTAGCCTCTTATTGAATGAATACTGGGGGCTGTTTCCCCGCGGTTAAAGTGGCAAGGGTGCGAAGCTGACCACACCTCCAACTAGTGCCAAGGTCAAGAAAATGCTGATCTATACAGCCACTCCCCCATACGCCTTCATGGCATAGTGCTTAATTAGTTAAGCACAGGGACAACTTTACCTTACCTTTATCAGTAACTTGGGATAGAATAGTCTGTATAGCGACTGGCTATGGGCTGGACAGCCAAGGGGTCGGAGTTTGAGTCCAGTAGGGTAAAGAAGTTTCTCTTCTCCAAGTCATCCAGACTGACTGTGAGGTCCGCCCACCCTTCTATCCAATGGTTACTGGGGGCTCTTTCCCCAGGGGTAAACCGGCCATGTCATGAAGCTGAGCACTCACCTCCAACTAGTGCCAAGATCAAGAAAATGTGGATCTGTACATTCACTCCCCCATACACCTTCATGGCATAGTGTTTAATTAGTTAAGCACAAGGACAACTTCACATTTTTGCCTCTTTTATCAGTAACTCAGGCTCTATATAGAATCAAAGGATTGAATTATAATGAATAGTGAATTGGAAAAGTTGTTGAAGGTAGCAGCCATGGCCTAATTCAATATGCATGTAGGAAGATGCCAATAATATTGAGATGTATATTGAAAAAATAGAATTTGAAGGTGTAGTCTGGATTCATGTGGTTCAGGATAGGGGCCAGTAGTGGACATTTGGGTTCTACGAAAAGTGGGGAATTTCTGGACCAGCTGAGCGAACAACACTTCCATTATTTCTGTTATATGCAGCACTGTAAGCACGCAAATTAAATTTTAAAAATTCTTTCACAGAAATTCCAGTTCATGATTGGTTTGTTTTTATGTAATTCAAAATAATAGTGTCAGCAATTTTCATTAATAAAAATGAGTTGTTCATGAACAAACTTAGTATAATAGGCATGCTGATGGCAGGAGACTACATAAGAACAAAAATTGTATCAGAATTTAATGTCAGAGCTCCCTTGGTATTTGGCCCAGAAGAGATAAATATGGTATATGTTCCACCTTGACATTTAACTGGAAAATATTAACAATAAATGGACCAAACAGCCTCTAATATTTCTCTCTGTATGTGTTTATCTGAAGCACAAGTTGGCACAAACAGCCATACACAAGAGGTTCATACACCGCGATGGCTGTTGGGGCTAGTCACCTTGACATAGAGCACATAGTGCAACCTCTTTATGCGAACCCACAGCAGGAGAAGGTAAGGTTTACGCCTCTCATTTTCTAGTACAGTTATATTTCTGTGCATTTAACTCATTCATTGCCCTGTCTGCCATTTCAAACAAGGTAAACATGGAGATTTTTCTCACGATTATATCTGCTACGAAGATTGGAGTTCTTGTATGTTGCTGATCGAGATTTATAAAACAGTGTCTCTTCCAGTTCTATACTGATATGAAACATGGTCTCTTTCTTTGAGGGAAGAACATAAATTGTAAATATTTGGACCAAGCAAATGGTTGTACAGTGTGACTGTACAACCAAATAAACCCAAATATGCACAGTGGAATGTGAGTGGGTTATTTGATGTTTGTTTTTATTGTGTTTGACAGGTAAAACAAGAACTCACATATATATAATATTATCGGTGTATCATAAAGACATTGTACTTCTAAATTCTGCCTTGTGATGACCATATGTGGCTGAAATATGTAGTTTCAGCCATGCATGGTGTGTTGTGCTCTACTGGCATGCTGTGTTGCCATTCTCTCTTGTAGCATCATTATAATCATTCATCCGTAATCTGTCAGACGACAGGTCCACAGTCTCTTCCAAAACAGTTCCTCCACTTAATGCAACCTTCTGTTTTTGGAAAGAGACTATCCAGGAAAAGTGAATCTGCTTTCCACATCGCAGTACAACAGCCGTTCAAACCACTCTGGTCATGCCTGTTGCTATACGAACTTGAACCATCTCGAGCATCATTTGCTCTATGCTTCAAGTTGTTGCTGATGACGCTGCTTCCGGCCTCAGTTTTTGGTATTTTGTGTCTCTCTTCGTCTGATGCCTACCCTTTGACCTGTCCAGCAAGGGAGGCCCTGCCAGTAGCTACGCTACAGCTGGTATAGCTTTCAGGGTCCTTGGCATACTCAAACCCCCTCACCATGATAAGGTGGAGACACAATTATATATTCATATATATATATTATATATATATCAGTATATTTTATTGCACGTACAGGTAATTATTTATACAGTAATACTTATAAGGAGGTGAATATTTTTTTGGTGTAATTTTGCATAAACTCTTTGTATTGTAAGGAAAGGCATTCACCTAGAGATTTATTAAGTTGGAAGGTTACTGTATGAATACGTGTATACATCGCATTTCACATTTTTGCTATAAGTCTAAGGAGAAAGTGGTGTGGAAGGAGATCAGAGTTTGAATCTGTGAGGAATTAACACAGAACAGTGTTATTGTGGCATATACGTGTACTTTTAATAAATGTCTGCCAAAATATCCAACATTGAAATCCACTTCATGTTTCTCCAAGGGTATGTCAGGGTTACCATGCAGCGGATTCTCCAGCTTCCTTTACCATTCTCTCTTCATAAATAATATTACATTTGCAGCCAGTTGTGCTATTTGCTGGTGAACACACGCACAGCAGCTTCTACTCCACAGTACATGGAGCGTATCTCACTGGTCGTAGTGCTGCACAGGTTTTGCTGAGCCATCAGTCTCCACAGGAACTTGTGATGGAATATCAAGGTACCAGTGACTTGAGTTCATGGATACAGGGCATTTCGCTGGACTGAGCGTCTGGACGTGAACTGAAGTGTGCTTGGTGCAGCAAGGCAGAGTCGTCGTCTTCGACTGTCTGATTGCAGTTGTAAGTGCAATTCATCTGGTCATCATATCCAACTGGCGTATGGTATTTTTATTTAAATGCAGTGGCAAAAAACTGTACGTCTTACTGGTAAACCTGATGCATATGTATTTTGAAAGGTAATGTGAAACTTTATGATATTTGAGGTTTTCATTGTGTCATCTTCTGGGTATAATATTATATGAAGGAATACAACTAGCATTGACATTTTGAATTTGTTACATTTATCTTTAGAATCAACCCTGAAATTGTATTTTTATTTCTTGATGCTGTGCTATACCCAAAAGATTATGCAGCAAAATAAATATTTTTAATGAACATTACTTAGCCACCAGATGTTGAGGTTTCCCATGGATCCAGCTGAATAGGAACCTTTTCTCCCATTTATCTGAAGATGGAAACAGATGTGGTTTGCAGAACATCATGTTCAAGAAAACTGAAGATGATGGATGTCTAAAATAATGGTCATGTTTACAATAACATAACACTTATGGAAACAATTAGGCTTGGTGTAAATATATTTGTTTGTAACTATACTTGTTCATATACTTCACTTCCTATAGCATTACACACATCAGAGTGGTATTCCTTTTTCACAATCCATGTTTGAACACCTGTGCTCAATATTGCATAATTATACAGTTTATGAAGCATCGTTAAATGCTAACGCATACTCAGTTCTTTTGGGTTATGACATTGGGTATTCTGGTAGGTTTGTGCCATCTTCAAGGTGTAACAACCCGTCTGAACATTGATACACCAAAGATGAAAGTTATATATTCCTCTGAAAAACTGGTAACCAAACTACACAATTTTGCAACTCACAAGATCACAATATGAATCCTAATCACAGTTAAAACCTCAGATGTTATATATTGATAATACATCAGGTAAGCAGCTTTTCTACAAATTCTTTAGTATTTATTTACTGCACTTGTATACCAAAGACCTAAGTTAATTTCACAGAGTGATTAGTACACATAATCAGAAACTAAAAGCTTTCAAGTGTTCAAAGAATTGCATTAGATTATTTATTGTAACTAATAAGACTGATATACAGAATTTGTGTTCCATGATGTATGGTACATGATTTCATTGTGTTTTTTATTTCTGATAACAAATTTAAAAACAGAATTTTGCCATTATCCACAAATTTTTAAAAATTAAAAAAAAAAACTTATTTAATTATGCTTATAGATGGTGTTTAAAGAATTAGCTTGTTCATTCCCGTCAATCTTATTTGACTGTTTTTAGTTTTTTAGTTTTTAATTTAACTGAATGACATTAAAAAGTAAAACATAACTTTAAAGTTGTACATTCTAGCTGCAAGTCACAGCTTTCATGACATCCCTCTCTTGTGGGTATTGAATGTTACCGGTAACATTGCAGCCGCATCAAATGCATGCAAGTTCAAACATTCGCAAACACTACATTGCTCTTTAATAGTTTATTCATCTCAAACACATCAGTGTGCTTACATGAGTGGTTGAGTGAGTACAGAGTTTCACTATATTAGAAGGTGTGTAAATGATTTAAACAGTATTTGTTATATGTGTAGTGACTTTACTATAAAACTTAACTGAAATAGTATAACACCATATATTAACAAAGCATATGAGCTCACTTTGGGTACAAAATAGGTGACCAGGATAAACCTTGAACTCTTCACACTGTCTGTGCCATCTTTGCAGTGTATTTAAAAGGATGGTCAAAAGGTGTTTGAAGTCTATGTCATTTTCTGTTCCACTGGGCTGGCCAGAACAGAAAGATCATTTGACAGACAGATGCTTCTGTTAACTAAGATATCTGGAATTTCATTAAAATCTAAACACAGTATACAATATCCTTCATTGCCTTTGTCAGCCAGACCAGTGCTTCCAAATCAAGACCTGCCAGTTCTTAACCTCTAAAGAGAAGATCCACTGATGATGGTATCTACTGACAGTGCTCCCATAGTTTCTACCCGAGCATGTTTGTTCTTCTTTAGGGCACTGATTTTCACTTTTGTTGCATAATCAGGAAACACTGAAGAGAATGTATTGGCAAGAACAACAAAATGACAGTAGGACGATGTGAGATTTTAAGTTCTCACGGCAGCAACTATGGAGACTGCTCTCTTCTGAAACAAGTCCCTATACTGGTTGATTGGTTGATAGATACCAACATTATGGAGATAGCTGCTGCTTCCATCGTCAGGGTAGAATAAATAGACAACAGACTGCTCTGAAATGTTGGTGCCCCTTTACCAAACAACAAGGTGTCACATGTGAGAACACTAATCTACATAATGAGGAAGTCATATTAAGTAGAACTTACATACTGCACCTGCTAATTTTTTACCCCCTGAGTCATTTAACTTTATGGTTCCACCCGGTTTTAATTACATAGTATTATTAGAATTTAAAGTTGCCCGTTAATTATTTGCATTAATTTTATGTTATTTTAATCTTTAGAGTCAAATTATTGATGCAGTTGTGTTTTATATTTATTTTTAGTAATCAGAGGATGAGAAAGTGTAATTATTAGGAGGTGGTATTCGGCAAATCTGTGATGCTGGATTTTAGATTCTCATGCCAATGACCGAAGAGTGTGATGTTCTGGGTTTTCATGGTTGTAATATTGTGTAATTTGAAAAGAGCCAAGTGTTTTGGAGAAACATGATGCTCTTTCCAAACTACATCTCGTTACAACACAGAAGACTATTGTCTTCAAATCTGTGTTGTTATAGACTGGCTTCTTGATATTAGAACAGTTAAAATTGCAGTACTCAACAGTTGTCTCCATGAAATATTGTAATTATTTTGTGACAGATAGAATGATACTTTCTGGAATTGTGACATTCCAAAAGAAAGATTATACTATTACACATATTTGTTTATTTATTTTGCATCCATTTTTTGAAGTCCTTGTTGGTTAATCAGAGATGGTGATAGAGATGTAAATTTCTTAATTTTATGGCATATGATAAGGTGTTACACCTACTAATTTTACATTCTAATAAGATCAATAATATACTGTATATTTTCCAGACTAAAATGCAATGGTTTATAAGATGTAGCCAGATTTTAGAGGTAATGTTTTAGGATAATTCTCTGGTCATACTATGGCTATTGTGGTTAGCCACTGGCTCTTCACCATGGATCCTTAGGTTCAGTCCCAGGTGCTTTTAGTGAGATTTGTGGTAGATGAATTGGAGTTGGAGCAGGTTCTCCGAATTTCTTTGGTTTTCCCCTTCTAGTCGTTATTTTACCAATATTCCATACCCCTCTGAGATGTGTCATAGCTCTCACCAAATTTAAGTTCAGAGCTTCATCTTTGGTCTTATGTGTGGCTGGTTACGGAATAAGGAAGTTAGTTTTTAATGATAGTCTGTGCCATAGCTGAAGCGGTTAGTTGCTATCTTCCCACTGTGGCAGCCTGGGTTCGATCCCAGGTCTGGTGAAGTGGGATTTCTGGTGGACAAAGTGACGCTGGGGCCAATCTTCATTCCACCAAATTCTCCATCATCATCATCATCATCATCACCCGGGGAAGGCTACAATAGGCCAATCAGTGGCCGCTGTGCCGAGTGGACCCAGTTGGAGGAACAACCCCACTAAGCAGATTTTTAGTATTTAATGTTAACTGTGTAAAGCGTTGTTTAGCAGAATGCAGTGTCAAAAGCTTAGTGACCATAGGATTCTGTTAACAGCGGCGAGTGGCCAGAAGTAAAGTTCATCTAATTAATCAGATGATCATTATACATTTCCTAATTATTTGTTATTAACATACAGTGCACCTTGATATTTATGTTGCTGCTCATATGAATTCTTGAGTGATATAAAGTAAAATTTATTAATTGCCCCAGTGTCACTGTTGAATTATGTTTATTTTTATTTTGTATGTCAACAAAAACAGCTTTGAAGGATAACAGGTAATGAACTTAATTAAAAGCTGACAGGAATGATTAAAGAGAGTTGTAATATCAGCTATTTCAGGCACAAGATTAGTAAGTTACATGATACAAATTATCCAGCTGATTACTGCAACATTAAACATTGTAATAGGATGTAAGTTATGTTGATGTTTTATTAAATTTGAGTTTACTTATCAGCAGTCATTTGATGAACTGTAATTTTTTTTTGTCAAATGCACTTCACGTGTTCATACAAATACAGCGGGGGGGAGGTCCAAAGAAATGTACTCACTCTTTGATAGTCAATATCTTTGGAACAAAATGACATGTAGTTAAAATTCTTGCACGGTAGTGTAGTGTAATATTTTCTCAACAGATGGCGAAGGTCACGAATCACGTGAGTGTCGTGCCATGTGCACGAGCACAAGACAGCAGCAGCAATGGCTGAAAGGTTGTTCTTTGAGCAACGCAAGGCTGTATTGAAGTGGTACTGGAAGTACGGTACCATTAACCCCCACAATTGTGTGTATTGGATTCCTGTAAATCCACACGTTCACGTGGGCGAGGAAGTGATTCTACCGGGTATTAATGTGAGGTGTGGTCTGTCATCGTGCAGTTTGATTGGTCTGTTCTTCTTTGAAGGTACCATAACTGGTCAGGTGTATCTCGATATGTTTCAGACATCGATTTTCCCTGCCATTCAAGAGATGTTTGGAGATGAGAGATTTTACCTACAACAAGATGGTGCTCCACCTCACTACCATTGAGATGTAAGGGCGTACTTGGATGACACTACCTGGACGATGGATAGGTTGAAGAGGTGCTATTGAGTACCCACCACGGTCTCCAGACCTAACACCTCTCGACTTCTACCTATGGGGAACCTTGAAGAATGAAGTTTATTGACAAAAGCCAGTTGCACTGAACGCACTACAAGAAACCATCAAAGTGTCTTGTGGAGCCATCACACCAGACACACTGACAGCTGTAGTTCGCTCAGAAGTTTGGTGGCATCGATGCTGTTTTAGCCGCTGATGGTGGTCACTTCGAACACATGCAATGACTCTTTCTCTCTCTCCGTGCAAGAATTGTAACTACATGTCATTTTGTTCCAAAGATACTAACTATCAAACAGTGAGTAAATTTTTTGGACCTCTCTGTATTATGCATAAATTACTTTTGCTTTGAAAAATTTGCCTTTTTTATCTAATAGTTGGTATTATGTTATTGCATATTGTTGTTAATGATTTAGGTTATCTGTATATAAGAGCCTTGTTAAATTTTCTGAGTTTCTTAATTATATTTGCCCTGTATTTATAATCAGGTTATGCCATTTATTTAATAATAGCTGATTATTTTTAATTTGCTGAAAGTATTAACTGACCTCTGTGGTCTAGTGGTCAGAGTTCCTGGCTACAGTTCCAGATGTCTGGGTTCGATTCCCGGCGCTACCAGATTTTCTGAGAAGTAGTGGGCCTGGAAGGGGGTGCAGTCAGTCTCGTGAAGATAACTGAGGAGCAATTTCAAGGAAATAGTGGCTCTGGTCTAGAAAACCGAAATCAATGGCCATGGGGATTTGTTGTGCTGACCACGCGACACCCTCTATCCACTAAAGTTGGTATTAACTTCGCTGACAAGTGGCTGTCGCTCAGTCAGTATAATTTACTTACGGACTACAGGCCATGGAGTTTGTTTGTTTTGTTTGTTATTAACCAAGACTTAATGGTGTACGTAGTTCACATCATGCATTTAATTTGATTAGCTTTTGTGCTGCAAACATCAACAGGATATGTAGAATTTTTAAATAGCAGAAGTTAATTTCCAAGCATAAGAGTACATTTAAAACAGTCTTTATGGTAAATTCCTTATGTTTTGTCCATAGCTGCCTCCTTTAAGTTGTCATACTAAGACATCCATACGGGAAACATCAGTAGATATGTAACCTTTCTGCTCTCTTACCTTTGTAGTAGCTTTCTTTTAATTGCTTTTAAAATTAAGTGATATAATGTGATGCAGAGATGTATTGTATAAACTTACCCATTCAACTGTCAACGTTTGCTGCATTGTAATTGTACTTAATGTGTAAAATTATTTTATACCCATGTGAATATTAAATTAATTATGAGCCTTTATCAACACACATAATTATTAATTATGTATATATAAACTTTGACTGTTCAGTGCTTTTATTCTGTATTACCTGAATATCCAGACAGTCTGGTCTTTTGTCAACCAGTATGCAAACAGTTGCTGCATGCCAGCAAACAATTGGCACATTGACAAACAACTGATGCATGCTTGCAAACCTTTGGTGCATGCTGGGAAACACTACATACTGGCAGACTTGCAAAATGTCAGAAGTCCCACATATGCCATTGCATTTCATGTTTGAACCTTGAGGCTTAAACCAAGTGTGAGGATACTAGCAAACATGTCATTAGGGAAAAGCAATGCAGACAACTATATAATATTTCACATACATTCGCATACACAAGTTCATTGAAATGTATATGTAGCTTTAGTCATTACAAACTATGTATTGTGATATGATGCCTGAAAGCTGAAATAGCAATAATTATTTCAGTGTCTGTCAGTAACACTTATAGACTTCAAATTTGCATTGTGAATGATGGATACTGTATTCCATTGTCATGTAATGCAGTATGTTGAACTATATTGAAAAACTGGTACTTAGATTAGCTTTACATGCCAAATGTTGTAGTATAGTGAGTAACACTGTGCTTCATATTTGAGAGCTGTTGGTTTCAGATCATGGTCCAAAGACTGACTATCTTAACTGAGGCTCTTTCATGGTTTCCTCAGTTCCTGGAGGAAGATACTGGGATAGTACTGCTTCCTTACACATTCTTTCCAGTTCATTGTTCATTGTTATTCTGCCCTTCAACACTGTATATTGTGAAGTGCTGACAGCATTGTTCAACCATGTATACAGCACACATACATACATACATACATACCTTCAGCTTTATCCTACAGGCATTTTGTCTTGCCACATCAGAAATTTACCATTCAGTTCTTATCACGTGTATGTGAATGCATGTTAAAAATATTCTGCTATAAAATGTGATAACAGTGTAATGTTTGTTATTCATTTGTTATGTAGGCCTACAGGTCTATATCGTCACAATATTTCTCATGTACTACTATTATAAAAATTATAGTAACTGTTGTAACACAATTTGATTTGCATTTTTGTAAACAGAAAACATAATAAGATTTGAGGTTTTCACAGTTATTAGGACTTTGATTGTAGAATTTGAGGTTCTCACAGCAGTGGTTGTGGAGAGTTCAATCTTTTAGAATATAACACGAAAATCTACTAGCAACTCACAAACAAGTTACCTCATCTTCAAGGTTGGAGAGAACCAGCATGAAGTGGGCAGCAACCAGAGGTAGACCTCTTCAAAATTTTGATTGTTATTGTGTTAAGTATCATCCTTATAGTCTCACTATAGCCCTGGGGCTAAAGGGCAGCCAGCGGATAAGGCTGACAACATCACCACCATCCATGAGCTGGTTGTTTAGAACATATGGGAGCCTCGACATCTAACAATATTATGGGCCTCCACAGCCTGTTACAAGGACAGCTTTACCGTTTTATAATATCATAAGGTGTTACTGGTGTTGCTGTCTTCACTTCTACACTGAAGATGGATGGAGCATGTTCCTTTGAAACATGGGTAACTGCCTACAAGACTACAAGATTCCATACCCCAGAAGACTGCAACCTAAATGTTCATTGCCATGAAAACCTCAAAACTAAACCAAGAGACAAATTGCCTTTATATTCTCTCTTCCAGTGAACTGTTCACAGAGTAGATGGACTGTCATTTGACTATGTATATCAGATACTGATGTAGCGTGTATTACTAAATGTTATCCTCCTGTAAGAACTATGTCATAGCTATCAGGCACAGTTCCTTTGTAACCCACACTGCTCTACATTGCTGTAGCATATAATTAGCACTCTACACTGCTAATACCAAAGCTTGCTATTAGATGTAATCTTCTGGCAGTTCCATCCACCTCCCATTCTCACAATCCATCTTTGCGCACTCTTCAGTCATGAAGATGGGGATAGTACATTTCTGTGAAACATCACTGAACCTCTACTTGACTACACGGCATCACATCGCAAAAGATTGTGCTCTGGCAGTCAGTGTGATGAGAACCTCAAATCCAACATACTTATATGATAGTACATTATACATGGACGTTCAGACTAAGAATTTCATATAATGGAATATAAGATCATAGCAGAAGGATATATATATATATAGCAAATGGCCTGCAAATGACATATTTTAGATGTCTGTGCTGTATATTCCAATATATGACACCAAGATGCCAAGTAGAAAATACATGTGATGATTCTTGATTTCTAGTCATACATAGTAATAATCATTTCTGAAGTATATTTTGTTTTTAAGATTTAATATTTTCTGTAATTGCCAAAGTATTTTAAATATTTAGTCAAATAAAAATATATTATTATTGACTATAAATTATTTAATATATTGTAGTTGTCCTCTTATGACATTCAAAGTTTGGAATTCTTTATTTGGAATAGCAAGGTAAGTATTCATATATTTTGAATAAATTATTTTTATGTGTACAGTTGATTTTAGAAGCCAGTCAGGAAATGTAATTTACATATATTTCTTTCTCTTTATAAATACGTTTGATCATCTTACTTGTCTTATTAATTCTGTCAAATGTTACTTTTCATAAATATTTAATTCTGTAGAACAGTAGTTTTCATAAANTTTTGAAACCCATGTTAGCAATTTTTATATTTTGCAAGCCTGTGAACTCAAAATTATCATTTATGTGACAAAACATTTGGATTTGATGACTGCATTACTTATAAATTTCATAAATTTGTCTCATGCAATTTCTGATATGTCTTCAACTTCAAGAATATAGGCACCCATCTACCCTGAAGATTGAGGCATCAGGTTCCTCTCAACTGCACAGTGTCCCATTCAAGAAGCCCAGTAGTTTTCATGGTCCCTGCCATGATAACCTCAAATCTCTCATTTTAGTAGATTATCAATTCTTACACAGAAACTGTGTGTGTTTAAATTGTCAATATGGCCTATGATTTTCTGAGGTTATACATGCTTTATCCATGGTGAAAAGCCTGGTACCAGTTGGGCAGAAGGAGCTGGTTTGGAAACTGTGGAAAGGATAAAGATCTCTTGCTCTTGCTGAGAATCAAACCCAAATTCCTAAATTTTCCAGCTCATAGCTTAGTCACTATTCAACTGAACTATCCCAACTTACGGTTTGTCTGCATAATTGAGGGATATTGCTTTGAAGGGGATTTCACTCCTTACCTATCATGCACATTCTGGCTACTGAGGTGTGCAAATGTGTTGTGCAGATCTCTGACCTAATTTCCCAATCCACAAGCACAAAGATTGTCTTAGTAAAAGAAATGAGGAACAAAATAGCTACTTGAAAATTGGGGCAAATATATTTCATAAGCGTATTTTAATTCAAAGGATTATTTACACTCTTCTTGCCAGAATCTTTTTATTCATATATACCAAAGTCAGCTTCTATAAGACTGAAGTAGAAATTAAGAATAAATTAAATACAGTTATAGAACAGTTGATGTTCCATTCCAAGGGTTAAAAGTAAATGAAGTGAAGAAAGAATACTGCTTTCAGTGCCTTTATTTCATTTTCTTGAACGGAAAACTTTCGTAATACACTTAAATTAGCCATTAAGATAGGTAATGTAATTATCATAATCATAAATAGAGTCCTATTATCCATCACACTTCTGCTCTTGTTCTCTAAAAGAAAGTGTCATATATGTCCCCTTTCCACAGTTGCTGTATGATTCTACTTTATCAAGGTCTGGCAAGTGTCAACTTAAATTTCTCTGCATTTGAGTCACATCATAGGAGAAATAGCCCATTATTTGATGGGATTTGCACTGGAATGTAGTAAACTTCAGCCCTTCAGACGAAGGAATTGGTAGTGAATGTGCTATGAACTAAAACCTATTGTTGAAGATGTACAACCCTGATGGCTCTTACATTGTCAGCACAATTACATTTCATTTCATTACATTACATTGCATTGCATTCCATGAATCCAAAGTTAGTCAAAATGACTGTAGTATGTGGAATATGTCGTATAAATACAAAACATATGTACAGACCAAATGGAGTTCTCACACAGGAGAAACCAAGAATACATAGTGACTACACACAAGGCTATTTAAAGATACATAAGTTATTTTCTAGACAGTAGGTATTCATCAACAGAGTAGAATGAGTGTGTATTTAAGTATCGTTTCAGTGTTATTTCAAATCGTGCTTAATTCATAAAACCTTTGAGATTAGAAGGTAGGTTATTAAAAATTTTGATCCCAGCATAATATGCGCTTTTCTGGAAGCATGAGAGGTTAACAATTGGTCTATGAAGACAGTATTTGTCTCTTGTGTTAACACTGTGTATAGTTAGTGCCTCATAACTTTAGCCGTGAGGAAAGGTAAACGCTGCTGTGGAGCACGCGAAGCTATACACTTGCTGTGATGACGTTCAGAGCTACTCCCCGAGTGGAAAACATTGCTTACGGAGACCAGGAGTAGTATTATACACCTGACAACATGCCAAGATGCTACATTCCAAACTGGTAGTACCCACACTGACGTAAGCTGATAAGACTGCTCCCCACGCTCCATGAGAGATGGTGTAACCCCTCTACCAAGGCTAGCATTCTGAGGAACTAACAGTACATCCGCATTCTTCTGAAAATGTTCTTCATTATTTGTAATGAAGTTTATTATTTACATTTACAAGGAAAAGTTAAGATCTGTAGTCTCTTAAATAGATCTCTACAGGAATTATGGGATTTGACAATGGGTGTATAATGTTGCAACAATGGAACAAATGGAAGTATTCCATTTTATAAGCTTTATAAAAATTTATAAATTTATAAATTGAAAATTTCTCTGCCTAAAGGTGATATTGTAATATTTAATGTTTTGTTGAAGCTTTCGTGGACATTATAAAACATTACTAAAAATGGTGTAATGTAAATTGAGAATTTTAGAGAATTTTAGAGCATATGGTCATGTGTCCTGCTTGGGAACTATATTTGATAATGCTATAGAGAACAGCTGCTGCATTTTTTCACATATTATATTAGCAGGCCACTTACTTTGAATGCTGGGAGGGTACTGACTGTGGACCTAAATTCATCAACATCACAGCAGTAGGAATATCCTTTCTTAATACTTTTCTGATCCCATTGTAGCCAAGAAATTTTTGAGCAAACATCATTACAAATCAAATAATCTTCTGGATTAGAAGCATATGGGTTGTTGATTCCCACAAAAACAATACCAGCCTGTGTCTTTGGATTGTACACTGCTTTCCAGAACAGTTTTGGCACAGGAATCCCTTTGTTGTCATTGTCATCAACGTATAAATACTACTCATTCTCAATGCCATTAACATTTGGTAATGTTGCAACACCATATGTTCCAGTATACACATCAAGATTGAGGTTATTCTTGTCAGCATAGGTTCGTACACTCATCTCAAGTGCTTTCCAATTTGCTCCGTTGAAAGTTTGCCACTGTGGGGAAATGTTTACAAAATGGAAAGTAGCTCTGTGTTGGGAACCATAAACAAAATCAGCTTTGGCTGTGTAGTGGCCCTTGGCTAGAAAATAGTCAGATGACTCTGCAATATATTTATCAGCTAACTCTGTCGAACCAAGAATGGTACTGATTGTCTGCCTTTGTGTGTTTCTTGTGTAGAGATTGTCAACTGAGATCTCAGGGTAGAAGTCATCTTGTATAAAACTTGGCCTTGGAAATCCTACTTGGAAGCCACCAATACCAGACACAAATGTGAAGTTACTATACAAAGTCTTCAATTGAGTATCATCAAAACAGATATCTATTATTTTATAAAAGTCTGACTCAACTTCAAAGCCAATCTCAATGTGACTTTTGGTACCATCATGACATTTACTGCCAGATCTCCTGGCAACATGATAAGGGTACCCTCTACATGCAAACTCTGAAAATCTATAAGGAATTTGGTTTATATAAAATGTAGTATCAGAGCTACAGGTTGCAAGTGCAGTTCTGGTCCCAGAATCACTGTAGACCAAATAGTTATTATCACCAGAACAGGCTAAGAGCACCTCCTCGTCAACAGCAAATGTAACAATGTCATCACCATCTTTTGGCAAAAAGAATCCATTCCCATCTTTACTGCCTCCTGGGATTAGAAGCAATGGCTGGGGTTCTGGCAAGTCATTGTTTATTCGAATGCTGCAGCCTGAAATGTGATACAAATTGATATTTCAATGTGGCACTCAAAATTGTAGTAAAAAAAAAGTAATGCTACATTTGGAGCATTGCTTTGTATGGGGCTGAAACTTGGACACTTAGGGCAGTAGATCAGAAACACCTGGAAAGCTTCGAAATGTGGTGTTGGAGAAGGATGGAGAAGATCAGTTCGACCAATTATGTGAGAAATGAAGAAGTGTTATTTAGAGTCAGTGAGCAGAGGAATATCCTACATGAAATAAGAAAACGGAAGGCTAATTGGATTGGTCATATCTTACGAGGTAACTGCCTTCTAAAAGAAGTTATTGAAGGAAAGATAGAAGGGCGGATAGAAGTGACCAGAAGACGAGGAAGAAGACGCAAGAAGATTCTGGATGACCTTGGGGACAGAAGAGGATATTTTCATTTGAAGGAGAAAGCTCTAGATTGCATCAAGTGGAGGAACTGTTTTGGAAGAGACTGTGGGCCTGTCATCTTGACAGATTACTGATGACTGAATGAATCCTATAGGACTTCATGTTCCCACATTTCAAACACAAACCAATTGTTATGAAGCTAATCACACTGCTTAAGATTCAAAAAATAATTTTCTTCTTATTTCCTTCAGTATACAGGGTGTCCCAGGAGGAAAGGTCAATATTCTGGGAGGTCACAGTATCGGTCATTCGAAACAAAAATTGTATATGTACATGTGTCCTATTCCGGACGGTTTCCGAGATAGAGCTATTTCACTGTACAGTTCCAAAACTGTTGATAAGAAAGAGATATCACGTACTGTTTCTATTACCAGTATGTACTGTTTAAGTGACAAAGTTGGTACAGTTTACCTAGTGCAATACATTTTCGACAATTCCATTGTCATCATCAATGCACTTTGCAACTCGTGTGAGGATTATAGCGTGCTGATGCTGCCTCTGTACAGTGTACAGTGTACTGTTGGGAATAGGACACATCTACATATATATTTTTTAGCTTAGAATGACCGACACTATAGCCTCCCAGAATACTGACTTTCCTCCTGGGACATTCTGTATATTAAATATAAAGAAAGTATATGAGATAAAATTGATAGATTTCAATGGGATCTGTACAGATTTTGTGATGATGTACTGTTTAGAAATTTTAGGAATTCAATTTAAATGTGCTATAAAGTGGAGCTAGTGCTACATTAAATCGGTTCGATTCAAAATTAGATTTTCACGGCATCATTTCATGTAAGACTCCCTCCGCTATTAGACTTAAATATCATCAAAACATCTTCAGCGTTTTTGAAAAGAGGAAATATGCGGATTGGCAGATGTAACCTTCCCGTGCTCATAGATTGTGTGTGTAACACACGAGCCATGCAGGTCTTTGTTTGGAAAAGCAAGAAATAATTTTTCTCGCATTGTTGGGCTCAAATTTTGAGAGATTAATCCCATGCGAGCTGTTGCTTTTTCATTAAAACAAGAACAAAAATAGCCAAGAACCGAATCAACATCAAAAACCCATCGCGGCGGCCCGGGTTCGATCCCGGGTCTGGTCAAGTGGGATTTTTGGTGGACAAAGTGGCGCTGGGGCAGGTTTCCTCCGAGTACTTCGGTTTCCTCTGCCAATCTTCATTCCACAAATTGCTCCACAATCAACCTCACCTATCATCTGGGGCTGGTACAATAGGCCAGAAGTGGCCGCAGTACAAGGGACTTAGTCCCACCCCACTAGCAATAAAAAAACATCAAAAACCTCCAGTTGATAGCGAGGTATAAATTACAATAAATAGGTACAAAGACAATCACATCAATCATTATCCATAGAACAGTCTGACAATGGATTATGATTATTAAATACTATCTGCGTGCGGGCTGACCAGCAACATGGATTGAACAAGATGTTTCAGAAAAAAATGTCGATGAGAATACAGTCAACACTCGCTATGCTTGTACTTGACCAGGATGCATCGTATAATGGGGAACGGGGTCAGCAAATGTATAGCACACAAGGGGGAGACGAGAAAACAGAAGTTTCATCCGAAAACTTCAAAGGAAGATTACGCAGAAGACTAAAGCCTAGAAGCGGGATAATATTAAAGTAGTTATTATAGAAATATGGTATGGGCATGTGAACTTAATTGAATTAGCTCAGAAAAATACTTGCTGGTGGCTTCTTGTGACCTTCAGATTTTGCGTTGCGGAAGGAAGATTAGGACCACTGTCCCCAGAAATGTGATGTCATATTGTTTTAGAGGTATCAGGTTCCTCCGAAACGTCGTCACATATCTAGTAAATAACATGGCGTAGCACCAAGAAAATTGTCTCAAATAGTAATTCCTCTGACTTGTCTTCTGGTTCGAATCTCGGCCGGGGACAGTGAACTTTTTCGTAGTTTTCCTCATTCCTTCCAGGCAAATTCCTAAATAGTGCCTTAAACTGGGCTAACACTGCATCCTTCCACGTTCCTTCCAATTCATTATTCACTTTCGTGTATTAATTCGACGCTACATACTCAGAGTTACTGAGAACGTCGTTAAGTAAACGCGGCGTTAATTCTCGTAATACGGTAATTATTACAAAAATGAACCTTCGAGTTTTATTAAAATATGAAGTTTCTTGACTTGTTGAACAACGTAAAGTTTATTCTAAAGGTTTGAGACGATGGCATGCAATACTTGGGATTACTGAGGTTTTGGATTGCGCCCTCTCACCTGAGAACGGAAACAGATCAAATTTTCGAAATGTTGTATTCTTAGTATTCTTTAGAATACCAGACGACGCATGAAGTCCCAAAAAAATCAAGTAATACCTAACATGAAATTTGTCATCTAATTTGTACTAGTACGCAAGCCATTGCTTCTGGCTGGAGACTTGACGTTTTTAAGGAAGATTAATAAATCCTAAGCGAATTATTGTCAAATTTCTTCTTTCTGTTAGTGATTGGGCATATTACGTCTCAACGTTTTTATTTTATTTTTTTTGTTCCTAGTGGGGTGGGACTAAGTCCCTTTTACTGCGGCCACTTCTGACCTATGGTACCAGCCCCAGATGATAGGTGAGGGTGATTGTGGAGCAATTGGTGGAATGAAGGTTGGCAGGGGAACTGAAGTACTCGGAGGAAACCTGCCCCAGCGCCACTTAGTCCACCACAAATCCCACTTGACCAGACCCAGGATTGAACACGGGCCGCCGTGGTGGGAAGCCAGGGACCAGCCGCTTGAGCTATGGCGCGGCCACGTCTCAACGTCAGAATGATTTATAAAGTCGGTATATGACCTCTTCTGCGATCAGCGAGAATGCATCTCTGGGAAGTAGCCCATTGACACACGTGTGACATCCCACTACAGCACAGGTGGACATCTGGACCCTAAGTAGGAATCCAACTCCTACCCCAGCATAAGCGCGGCCCAAACCAGTAAGTACTAGCAAGATTTATTATGTATGGGTTTTGAAGTATTCACGGCTGAGATCACACAGTAAGAGTTCAACGAGGTGAAAGAAAAAGGTAAGCTTCACAACTTGTACTCTTCTCGAAATATAATTAGAATGGTCAAATCAAGGAGGATGAGGTGGACAGGGCATGTAGCACGAAGGGAGAGAAGAAGAATGCATATAGGATACTGGTGGGAAAGCCAGAAGGAAAAAGACCACTGGGAAGACCAAGACATAGGTGGGTGGACAATATTAAAATGGATCTTAGAGAGACAGGATGGGATGGTGTGGTCTGAATTGGTCTGGCTCAGGATAGGGACCGCTGGAGGCCTCTTGTGAACACGCTATTGAATCTTCGGGTTCCATAAAATGCTGGGAAATTTTTAGTAGTTGCAGAATTGGTGGCTCCTCAAGAAAGGCTCAGCTCCATGAGTAAGTAAATAAGTAAGTAAGTAAAAGAAAGGTAAAAGTATCCCTGTAACAGGCCTTGGAGGTCCATAGGGTTGTGAGACGTCGAGGCTCCCACATTTTCTAGACAATCGGCTCACAGATGGCGGTGAGGTTATCAGCCTTATGGGCCCTACAGCGTCCGTTTTGCCTGCGCAGTTCCAAGACGTCAGGTAAGACGGAACGCTGAAGAGGACACAGACATTCCGTTTTGTTCTCAGTCTTGCGCCCAGTTTTCGCGGATTATACACGGAGCAACATGTTGGAGGAACTTTTAATTTACACCGCTCTAGCGTTAGCTTTGAGATCAAAACCTGAAACGAAAAGGACTAGGTCAAAATGGGCAAAGGCTTGGTTACTTGAACGAAATAACCTCTCTCATATAAATATACTGAAAGATTTAAGTCTAGAACCTGGTGATTGGTACAATTATTTAAGGATGAACAGTGAAACTTATTTACACCTTCTTCATTGGGTAGCGCCACGTATCAGAAAGAATGATGCAATGTGACACACAATCAAACCACATGAACGACTCGTTTGTTGCTTCGGGATCAATTTCCGATAACTTAACTCCTAACTGTTCATAAGCAACATTTTTTTATCAGAATACTCTTTACTTCTGATCTTCCACAAACACGGATTACTACGATACAGCTGAATGAATTCGCTCAAACATGCTCTCAAGTCCGACGTATCGAAGTGCACAGTTGGAACGATTAGTTAAAACTGACGCTAAAACTGTAGGCCCCCCACACGCTCCAAATCTCCAAATTGATCGGAGACATGCCTGTACACGCACAGAAAAGTCAGTCGCTGACAGATTTACTTCAAGCCAAGCCTAAGACGGTACAGGAACGACAATTCTACGTACCACACCGTCTTACCTGGCGTTTTAGAACTGTGCATTCAAAACGGACGCCAAGACGAACCGTCTGTAGGGCCACTTAGAGTCTGAGTCGACCCCAGGGTCATAGTGCGGGTAGAAGGATTAGGTAAATTGAAAAAAAAGTCCACTTCTTGCAGAATCAATTTAAATTATGTACGGTACTCACCTGCTTTGATGGATTTAGCATGACTGACCTCCAGGAAGGCTTGAAATGATATAAGTTCCAAAATAGTTATGAAAGTTTTCATTGTGTTGATCTTGCAGTCTTGAAATGTGTGTGACAAAGAGTTGGCGTCCCTAATATTCTTCCTCTGACGTGTGGAAATCTAATGCCGTTATTTAAGTGTCCGGGCTGTGAGCGGCTGCAGGCGATGTGCCGCTGCGTCTTCTGTCTTGTACCTCTTCCCTTCTTTATATATGAAATCAAGTTCAGTTTCGATTATATTGCAAGGAGCATCATGCAGCATAGAATAAAGAATCACGCGACTTGCATGTACTGTGCCAAATCCATTTAAGACACTTATGCAATCCTTCATTAACATGAGATTTTGGGGGGTAATGTATTATTGTGGCATGTACTGTCTAGGCTTGCTTGAAAAAAAAAGTATTATTGTGTCTTTCGGTGGGAATAATGAGTAATCCATCTTATTCCACAAGTAATTATTCTCAAGAAAAAGTGACCGGTTTTTAGAATTCAATAAGTGGAAGTCTAAATATATAGAATGGAATGTGTTTAGTCCTTGAAAGTACATCTCAGAAGTGACAGAACAGCAGAATCAATATCTGATATTCTTAATGGGCCTACGTGCGGGGATAAACAGGCAATAGTTACTTACTTAGTTATGGAGCTGAACCCTTCTTGAGGAGAAGCCAAATCTGCAGCTACTCAAGAATTTCCCAGCATTTTATGGAACCCGAAAGTTCATTACCGTGTTCACAAGAGCCCTCCTCTGGTCCCTATCCTGAACCGGATCAATCCAATCCATACCATCCCATCCTGTCTCTCTAAGATCCATTTTAATGTTGTCCACTCACCTACGCCTTGATCTTCCCAGTGGTCTCTTTCCTTCTGGCTTTCCCACTAATATCCTCTATGCATTAGTCTTCTCTTCCTTTCGTGTTACATGCTATTCCCACCTCATCCTCCTTGACTTGATCATTCTAATTACACGTATACTTGGAGAAGAGTACAAGTTATGAAGCTCCTCATTATGCAGTTTTCTCCAACCTCCTGTCACTTCATCCCTCTTCGGTCAAAATATTCTCTTCAACACCCTGTTCTCGAACACCCTCAGTCTATGTTCCTCCCTTAATAAAAGAGACAATAGTTAGCACCCAAAATATCAAATATCAAGACAAATGGTTTGGGCTCGATTGTGGGGGAAATTCTCTGAACACTGTTCTGGACTACAAATTTTGTAATCTAAGTCAGAATGAAAACTGGGGAAGCGATAAGAATTACCTATTCTCATATTCCATTTTCAGTTTCATATACATGGCGCTCATAAATACAGAGGGGCCAAAGAACTAGTTAAATGTACGTAAAATACGTCAGAAATTTCTTTATTTCTCATTGAATTTAAAAAAAAATAGTTCGAAATGAGATCATCCATGTTCATTGCACAATTCACAACGTTGTGATGCCGTTCTACAAACTGACTGACAAGTTTAAAAGTCAACATTCCCGTTAATACGAGAGAATATTTTAGTCATGCGGGCCGATTGTGACTCGCCAGTTGGTTTTGTGCTGTACACAACACAGGTTGTTAGCTCCATAAGGCTGGGGCCACACGAGCGCACGAAGTACATCCGTTGCAACGAACGTACTTTATGACGGACGTTGCTGAGGACACCACAAATTTACAGAATGTGGTGCGTAGTTTTTTGTCTGCAATAGAGCCAGACGAAAGCGTAGCATTTGCCTCTCTTGTTTATTTCTACAACGAACGTCATTAGTGCGTTATGGACGAATTTTGTGAGCTCGTGTGGCCCCAGCCTAAATATACGTTAACGCTTTTATCCTCTATCAATTTGTGGCGAATATTGTGTAAGTGGGCTGGAGAATTTATGGATAGTGATTACTAAATATTCCATATGATTTTTTATTTCCCACGAAGCAAAATAACGTTAAGGAGTCTGGAACTACTGCTTATCGGATGCGGGTTTTTCAGTCCTCCTGTATGCGGTCATAATCTTCGTTACTGTGCCTCGCGAGACACCAAAAACCTCTGCTACCTTGGTTACGGAAGAACCCACCATACGGGCCCCAACAATTTGCCCGCGTTCGAATTCTGTTAGCTCTGACATGGTGCACTAAAAACTGCACAGAACACTGTCTCGACAACAAATGAAGCTTGCAACCTATTGCGGAGGTTGTACAGGTAGTGGTAAAGGGCAGATACGGCAGCGTCACCCACAAACGTCGCTAAAATAAAAACTTCAATGCAGGCATGCATTTCACGAGGTGTTTTCATATTTTTGTGCATCCCCTGTAGTATGACTCCGTGGTCACATAAAACATCGAACCATTCTGGCAAGCCTTTAGTATTATTTATTATTCTTTTTATTATTGCTAGTGGGGTGATCTAAGTCCCTTGTACTGCGGCCACTTCTGGCCTATTGTACCAGCCCCGATGATAGTTGAGGGTGATTGTGGAGCAATTGGTGGAATGAAGATTGGCAGGGAAACCGAAGTACTTGGAGAAAACCTGCTCCAGCGTCACTTTTCCACCACAAATCCCACTTGACCAGACCCGTGATCGAACCCGGGCCTCCACGGTGGGAAGCTAGCGACAAACAGCTTGAGCTATGGCGCGGCCTATGCCTTTAGTAACACCGCCGACCTATGAACTGTTGGACAGACTCTTCATTGTCGCGTTTCCTGATCACTCGATTTCAAAAACAGTGTCATATTTTGGTGCGAAAGAATATATATACGTACATTTATGAAGCGGGCATCTGGTACTCCGCTTTTAGTTAGTTAGAAGTTGGACAGCCCTGTTGCACATTACAATTAGTGGACTAGAAGAGTGAAAGGGAAAATAAAAATCCATTTAAATCACATGACATTTATTTTATAAGCCCTAAGACAGGAGTAAGGGAATAAATGTTATACGTATTTCATCATCCTCTTGCGCTGGTTAACGGTTTTTTTTTTTTGCACGGGGCAGTGTTGAAGGCGCAAATTCTTGTCATGCTTGTGGGCTGTTGGTGCGCCGTGTCTAAAGTTTTTTTTTATACATAATACTTCTACGAAATATTTCGACTTTTTAATGTCATTATCAGTTTGGCACTTTTACGCAACTGCTGCACTGTATTGCCTTGACCAGTTTCTTCTTCTAAAAGGTAAAATTAGTTCCAATTATTGTTCAGTTTTATTGAAATTAGTTAAAACTTGCCCATTTTTCAGTTGATACTCCGTGTTACTTGTGTTATATGCAGGTTATGTACGGAATACAACATTTCGCAAACTGGATCTGTTCCCATTAGCAGATGTATCAATGGAACAGACGAACATGATACACGCTTAATGACAACAGCATCTATAGTTGCTGAAATAGTGTATTTGGGGGGGGGGGAGGATCAGAAAGAGAGCCATTGTTAGAAATAAGCTCAC